GACTCCTAACAAGCATTCAATAAATGTTATTATTTTTATTGCAGATAAACTTTACTGTCAAGTTATCAAAACTTTAAAACCTCATTGATACTCTTACTAGCATTAAAGTAATCTTTCGAAAACTTGACATTAGCTTTACAATATTGAATCTCCCTATTTGGAAACAAAGGAATCTATTCACAATTGTTTTTAGTATTATTCAAATAAGTCATACACATTTATACATTTATTTCTTATGGTTATTATTTCTAAGTATTTTGTAATTTTGGATGCTGTGACATGATTTGCGCCTATTATATTTTTCAACTGGTTTCAGCCTATGTAACTGCTTGGTTACGACCTACATAATTCTCTATTGTAACAATTCTAACAGTTTTCTAGTTTAGTCTCTTAGGTTTCTGTTTGATTGCAAACATATCCTATCATAGTTAAATAATGATAATCTGTCCTGGTTTCCCCAATATTTACATTTTATTTTGTTTTTCTTATCTTATTGCACTAGCATAAAACATTTTCCTACTTAAAATAGCTACTCTAGTAAACCAAATACAATCATATAATTATGTTTTATATGTAAAAAAAATATATTTATACATAAAAAATGTACCTGAATTTTCTTTCAGGTTACAGAGCAGGGACTATTTCTATCTGAAAGGCAAACTGTCAGATCTCAGAATTTACAGGACTACATGTTTGAAAACAAGGCAAATTTTTATGTCTCTATGTTATTCTTAAAATGCTCTTCTACAATTCATTTTTCACTTCCACATTCACTTACAAATATGCAATCAAATATTATCAATAATTTAAAATTTGATGCAATCTTAGCATGAATAAATTAGGAGATCTGGAATAACAGTGTGGGTGTTGTAGTTCAGTAATTAAGGAAATCATGACTAGTAATGAAGCAGAATCTCTGTGTGGAATTCAGACTTGAAATAGAAAAGTTGGGACAAAGGAATTTAATTATTTTCTAATCTTCTTTCACTTTAGGAGCTAACTGGCACCTAACAGTAATTACCTTAGTTTAAAACACCAACCAATTAAAAAGAATACTACGAAGAATTGGTAGCATGGGCCTTTCTTTTTATATTTTAAGTGTTACTAAAAACTCCACCACATTCTCTTTCAATCACAGAGGGAATTACATTCTCAAATTTGGACTCCTTCATATCACAGCTTACACATTGTTTTCATTTTATAACCAAACCTTACAAGTTTTTGAGTACTACAGAGATTTTTTAAAACTGTAAAATAGGAAAAACTTCTGTGGATGGGCAGCAGTAACCATAAATAGGTTATTTCCTGGCAGTGGTACCAATATGAATTTACTTAAACTTGCAATGTTACAGAGAAATGAAAGCCATTCCTACAGTCTGCTGAATAATATTACTTAAGTCACTAATGTATAAAAGGTTAATAACTGTTCTAAGTATGATAAACTACTTCTCTCTCTTTAATATCACAATATGAAAACATATACTAGAAACATTAAAAAGAATTTTTTCCCCTATAATCTAGAATCAACCGAGATTTCCAGCTGGAACACTACATATAAATCAGGGCATGCTCTTCAAAGCCAGAACCAATTCTGTTGGAATTTGTTTGTATGGGCCCATCAACATTTTTTCAAATCTAAGCTCTCTCCAGAGACTTCCTGCTACACGTGGCAAATTTTAGGCACTGTCTCTTGGCTAATATTTATTTTGGTAAGATGTGTTTAATGTAAAAAGAGAAATATTACTTTTTGGTGTGACAACCAACATCAATTTTAACTGTCTCCAAAATCTTAAGCTCTAGCCTCTACCATAATTTTTAGCCCTATATTTCCAACTGCTTGTTTAAAAGAGAATTCTATCTCCTTTCTCAATCCTTCAACTTCTAAAAATTGGAAAATTTTAACAGTACTAACATACTTATAGTCACCTTGGCAGGGAACCCTGAATTCATCCTTGATCCTCCTCCTCCTTTTACTTCATCCATCCAACGGGTGCCATGTTTTATTTGGTTACTGATGCCTCTGTTCCAAATGCCACTGCAGTAAAACAGGTACCTAATACCCTTTGCTTAGGTAACAATAAGCTTCTAAACAGAACCTCCATTTCGTGGGGTAACCCCAGTGGCTCAGCGGTTTGGCGCCACCTTCGGCCCGGGGTGTGATCCTGGAGTCCCGCAACTGGGATCAGGTCCCACGTTGGGCTCCCTGCATGGAGCCTGCTTCTCCCTCAGCCTGTGTCTCTGCCCCTCTCTGTGTGTGTCTCTCATGAATAAATAAATAAAATCTTTTTTAAAAAAAGAAAACCTCTAGTTCAAATCTCCTCCTACAGCGTACTCCTATACTGTTGTCAAATTACATTCTAGAGCCGGGTTATGGGTGTATCATGCTCCTGGTCAAAAATAACTCTATCCTGATAGTCCAAGCCCTGTTATTTGATTTCAGTAACTTTAAAAAACTATTCTCCCCTATTTACCCTCATAGATTATATATCTGAGACAAACACAGTTTCCTAAAGGTATCTTTGCCTTTTCTGTCTCTTTTTGCTCGTAACATTTATTTTGCCTAGGGTAACATTTCTCTGCATGTCCAATCTTATTCAAGCTTTAAGGTCTACTTCAAATGCTGTTATCTCGGGCAGCCAGGGTGGCTCAGGGGTTTAGTGTCACCTTCAGCCCAGGGCCTGATCCTGGAGACCTGGGATCAAGTTCCACATCGGGCTCCCTGCATGGAGCCTGCTTCTCCCTCTGCCTGTGTCTCTGACTCTGTCTCTCATGAATAAATAAATAAATAATCTTTAAAAAGTAAAATGTGGGATCCCTGGGTGGCGCAGTGGTTTGGCGCCTGCCTTTGGCCCGGGGCGCGATCCTGGGGACCCAGGATCGAATCCCACATCAGGCTCCTGGTGCATGGAGCCTGCTTCTCCCTCTGCCTATGTCTCTGCCTCTCTCTCTGTGACTATCATAAATAAATAAATAAATAAATAAATAAATAAATAAATAAACAAATAAATAAATAAATAAAATAAAAATAAAAATAAAAAGTAAAATGCTGTTATCTCTAAGACAGCATCCTAGGACTCCCACGACTAAAAGCAAGTGCCTTTGAATTTCTACAGGACTTCAGTATGATTGGACTTTTCTAGGGCAGTGTTTGCTAACTTCTAACTTGTATACAAATCTCCTGGAAATCTTGATAAAATGTAGATTCTCATCCAGTAGGTATGAGCACCTGCATTTCTAACAAGATCCCAGGTGATACTGACACAGCTGGTCTGTGGACAAATTGAATGTGTATCTCAAGGAACACACCAATTCTGGTTCATTTGTGAACTATTTTTTACTGACTCTGCTTTCCTATAAAATGAAGGAACGATCCCTGTTTCCCACTGCAACTTGTATAGGAGATATCCAATAAACATTTTGTAATAAAAAAAAAAAAAGTGTATAATCTGTATGTTTTATAAACTACAGGCTATCAATACATTAATGGGTTGTAAGCTATATGTATGTGTATATAATATGTATATATAACTGAAACAATAAAATTGAGTTAAATGGGAAAAACAGTATCATATGTAATAAGGGTAAATATTATTTTATAAAACTTTTGTTGCTATATACACACATATACATTTGCATGTACTGGGTCAAAATGTAAAATCTATTCTTCATGTGGGTTTTTGGTCAAGAAAGCTGGAAAATATATGTTATGGGTTGAATCATGGCGTCCCCCCCCCAACCCCTACACATACAATATGTTGAAATCCTAACCTTAGTTAGACATGGAGTTAAGCTGTCACAAACTGAAGAAAGTCTGGGACTAGCTTCAGAGGGAGCACAGCCCTGCTAATACCTTGATTTTGGACTTATAGCCTCGATAATCATGATGGAATATATTTGTTTTAAAACACCCAGTTTAGGGCAGCCCGGGTGGCTCAGCGGTTTAGCAACACGTTTGGCCTGGGGTGTGATCCTAAAAACCAGGGACCGAGTCCCATGTAGGGCTCCCTGCATCGAGCCTGCTTCTCCCTCTGCCTGTGTCTTTGCCTCTCTCTCTCTGTGTGTGTGTGTCTCTCATGAATAAATAAATAAAATCTTTAAAAACAAAACAAAACAAACAAAAAAACCCACCCAGTTTATGGTAGTTTACTATGACAGCCCTTGGAAACTAATACAACATAGAAGATACATTTTAAGTCATAGCTCAAGTATTTTTTTTTTCAATTTCAGAATTGTAAAAGAATATAAAGTTATGAACGAAAATATTATGGCCACATGTATTTTAGCCCACAACAAATATTTTCAGGAGATTCTACAAAATGTAACTTTTTAAACATCCTCATATAAAGTGATCTCCCCTAGTTATTCTTCATTACATCATCTTATTTATTTCTTATAGCATCAATCACAGTATATTTTTATACTGTGTTTTTTTGTTTATTCTGTTTTCCCTACCAGAAAATAAGTTCTGTGAAGACAACTCTTGCTTCTTACCATATCCCCAGTGCCTGGCACATAGCAGGTTTTCAATAGACACTTATTAAATGAAAAAAAGAAAAGCTCATAAACTAAACTACATACAGAAGTATTAAATGCTATTGTTATTATCCTATATCTTCTTGTTTCTCTTTCCCTTCCAAGAAAAAGCCCTCTGATAATGAAGAAATTTCAAATGTAAAACTATTTTATATAGTCTATAATAGGATTGGCAAACTACAGCCCATAGGCCAAATCTAGCCAGCTACTTGTTTTATTAAAGTTTTGCTGAAACACAGGCTCACTCACTCACTCCATTATTTATTGTCTAAGTCTACTTTTATACTATGACAGCAGAGTTGAATAGCTGCCAACAGACTGGATGACCTGCAAAGTCCAAAGTATTTAATCTGATCTATAAAACAGGCCACTCTATTTTTAACTATGTATATATTTATGCCATGTTTGGCATCTAATCATACGTATTCCAAAGATTATAAGTAAAAAATATTGGAAGTAACTTTCACCTTATTGTAATTCTTGGCTAATTCCAACATCTCTTTTACCACTGATTCATTATGTTTACAGTGTTCACTGTAGTCTTGAAGTGTCAAACCTTCCATCCAACTCTTCTTATGCAAATTTAGCAACATCTAAAAAAAAAAAAAGAAAGAAAAAGTAATTATTTTCCTGTATGGAGGATACTTCCTTCATTTGTCTTAAGAAACAATTTCACCAAAAAACCTTCAGAATTAATGAGCTTAAAATTGAATTTTATTAACTTAAACTAGAATAAGGATTCTCCTAAATTTATATTAATAAAACCTAAGGAGTATTCTAACACCATGTATTTGCTGTCCTTCTGCCTCAAAGGCTATTTTCCTTATCTTTGCATGGTTTATGTTTCTCATTTCCTTAGAGATAGATGCCTTTCCCCACCATCCTGTATAAAAAAGTCACCTCATACTATCTTAAACATGTCTTCCCTTAACCTGCCTTATTATTTTTATAATACTATCAACACTTGAAATTTATTATTGCATTTCTCTCACTTTGAAAAAAAAAAAAAAGAGTAGCTTTGCCCTGTTGATTTTAAGATCACCAAGATGTAGATTCAATAATACCTTATATATCATAATAGACATTCAATATAAACATTTGTTGAATGCACAAATAAATGAATGAGTATGTGAAGCTACTATGTTACATACAAGGTCTCTAATACTCCCATAGCCCAGCTTTCGAAGTCCATGGTAAGGAGGTAAATGCCTCATTTACTGAATGACTTCATTTAAATCTTTCTGAGCCTCAATTTACATATCTAGGAAGTAAGGGCTCATATTAAATACTCTCTAAGTTTCTTTTCTAGTATTCCATCTGTAATTTTTAAAATGAAAACTTCATTACTGTCAGAATGAAAAGTCATGAAACTGGGTAAGAAATCACAACTTTGTCCAGTCTGTAATCAAATCAGCAAACTGGAATCAGATTACAGAATTAAACACCTTGGTGCACTGTTTCTCAAACTGGACTCATCCTGAGTATATTTTTCTTGAAGTTCCTAGGTTTTCAAGTTTAGAGTCTTAAGAGAGTTTTTCTTAGACTTATAACTATAAATGTTCTCTAGTTGAAATTGAATTTCTTTAAAAGACTGAAAAATATTTTGTAAACAAAAAATAGCTGTTGCTTTTACTGTTAGAACCAGTATATTTTGTGAGATCCACAACTCATGATCTGAAGATATAGCTAGTATCTAAACTGTCGAGTTTAGTTAAGAAAAACTGCTCCACTTGCTTAGAGTTTTGCAGTTATATGTCATACAAAGTTTGTTTTTGTTTTTGTTTTTGTATGCTAGAGAATATGCTGCATGTCAAAAATTACCTGAGACCGCAAGACGCAAAGCTCCAAATTCCTACATTCCCATTCAGGGGCCCAGAGGGACAAGAGTAGTTTAACCAAAAACTGAAAAAAGCCTGCACAAGTAACTCCAATTTCTTTGCTTTTCATCTTCTCCACTGAGAAGTATTCTAGAAAATATATCTTCGGGAAATTTTGGTGCAGCTGCAACTATATATGTTATAAAGGTACCTATAATTAAGAACTGAATTTTCCTACCACTTCAGAAGCAAAGTTCTCACAGAGCATGTGGATATTCCTATCATGAATAAAGAAGGATTCCATTGTTACCCTTGAGTAAGTCTGAAGGTAAATATATAGCTTGGTAGGATAAGAGTAAAGGCAGGGCTTCTATAGTACCAGAAGGTACTATAAAAGCTCCTCAACTGAGCTACTAGGAGCATAATCATATCATCAATTAACTTATATAGGTATTTATGTGTGTATGCTTTATGCCAAGAATAGTAGCTAAATTTTAGGGGCATCAAAAAGGGGGAAAGGTTGATTTAACCAGCCAGATATTTCCAAACAGATATTAGACTGATAAAGTATTTATGTACGTGAATAAACTTTTCAGTTTGTATCTGACTGGTGATCCTTTTCACGGTCTGTACCTATTCTATAAAAATTAAAAATAAGTGTTAAAAATATATTTCAATCTATCAGTTAAATCTATCACAGTAGATACAATCTTTGGGACATAGGCAAGCAGCTGGAAGAAAGCTTTATGGCTGTGTCTCCCCTTGGGCCAAGGAAGAACGGGCGGGCTCCTGTAGACCCTCACTCCTTATCATGCTCAAGGTGAGTTTACTGGTGGCTCTGACCTTTTAAAACATGGTTTATAAAACTTAAAAAAACAAAACAGAATTCTTATTTCAATGAAAATCTTATACAGTACATTCTTCCCCACAATATATAAATGACATTAAAAATGGAGGCCATCTGGTTGAAAGACAAGGCAATATGGACAGCTCAACTTATTCTACTTCCCAGTTATCTCATGTATTAGAATCCCCTTCTAAGGCATCTTTATGAGGAACAGTTCCGATCAGTTAATAAAGGTCTTATTTACTACTGATTACTTACCCTGTTTGGACTTGAGAATCACATAGGAACCAAAACGTACTGGCTAGCAATAGTACTTGATGTTCTTAAAAATTATTTTAAGTCTTTATCAGAAATAAATACAAAAAGCTAATTTGGAAGATGACTAATTGTAATAGTAAAGAAAAAAAAGCAGTTCAGATTGTAATTTCAAAAAGCAAGAGGCAGACTTAAAATATTTGGCATTAGTTGAAATAATTCTAAAATAGTAGAAACAAAAGAATGCTAACCTACCAAGGTACTAGGTAGGTAGTTTTTAAGGTAACCAAATTTAAAAACTGCCTAGTATAAAAAGCGGTAAGAATCTAGCTTTAAATATCTAAAACACTACTACCGTTTGATTAAAATTTCCCTTTTGATTCACCTTTAATTTACCCTATGTAAAAAAGGTACTTTTTAAGTACTATGCAATTACAATCTCATTTATTCCTTTCAAATTTGGAAAGTTCCAAAAAGGCATTTTATTGGAAAAAGATAATCAGAAAAACACAGAAGGAGGAGAAAGATTTTTGTAATTAATCATAAAATCAAACAGAAATGTTTGTTTCCTACTTATTCTCTTGTTTTAGCACCTACCAATAAGGTAAAATATCTTCCAATATGTCCAATAAAATATTCCTTTATTTTATGTTCCCACAATTCATTAGGAATGACAAAATATCTGAACACATCAATGAAAGAAAACAACAATTCAAACTCAAATATACTAGGTAATAGTTTAAATGGTCTGAAAAAGGATTTCCCCCCACTCTCTAATATAAAAATTTTAACTCACCTTCTGTTCCAGTTCATTTTTCCGATAGTTAATAGTAATGGAGTAATAGTGTCTGTTTAGTCCATGAATTAATGCCTAAATGATTAAAGATTAGATAAATGATTAGATAAAGGACAAATTAACATTTTGCATGTAAAAAATAAGTCTGAAACCATTGACCAAACTTATCTTCTAAAAAAAGGCTTTAACCTAAATAAAGATTAAATGAAAAAAAAAATTTTTTTTTCTTTACTACAAGTTTAGAAGTGAGGTTTAGAGGTATGGGTCATATATTCTTCAAAATATCATGCACAGCAGCACAAATTCAACAGTTTCAGTAGTCTTGCTCAGAGTCAGAGATAGGGTCTGACCCCATCATAATCTAAATTATAAATTAATTATTCATAATTTATAAATAATAATTTAAAAGTCTGATTTTACAATATCTGGGGGGGCACTTTGTTACTTCAAAAGAAAAGCCTAATATTTAGTCATAATAATACACTTATTTTTTCACCCATGACTTAATGTAGGATCTCCCTTTTTTCTTAATTCAATTCTAATAGATTCAAATAATTGTGTCCCACATATGTCTCCAAATTAACAAAGTGAAGTTGGTTCTTCATTGGGTCTATTTATATTTACTTCATGATCTTAACCAGTGACAGGCAATCTCACTAACCAGAATTTTTTCCACTGCACTTGACTTCTAAGACAAACAGGCAGATCATAATAAAAATTTAAGCTAATGACATGGCTTTATTAAGAAACAATAACCCTGCCTGTGATGAAATCCATTCACAACTGCTCAAATATTGAACTCTGGCAACAGATGTACAAATGTGGTTCAGAATGGTACTCTGGGGGACCCTATCAACCCAGAAAGACATGATAGTACGGAAATACACCTTGGACTTATTTTCAACAAGTATAAAAACAAAAAGGGCTTTACGGTTAGCTCAAATATGAAGATAAGGCTAACCAAAACCACCACTCCACTCTCTATTTATTGGGTTTTTATAGCGAAGGCATTAAGGTGTTGAGGTAAAAGAAGTAGGCCTAGAAGGAGGAAACATTTAGTGAGTATCCAGTATCTGCTTTACCTATTAGGTCTTCTAATCTTCCTAACAACTCAGTAAGGTAGGCTGATTCCATTTGTATTTTGATAGATGAAGAAAATATGACTCAAATCTTAATTTGTCCCAGTTTTATATAGCAAGGCAAAGGTGGGATCTGAACCCAAGTATTTCTGACTCCAAAGCCCATGTTTTTTCTACCGTAGTAGTAGTATGCTACAGTGTATCTTAGAAATTCTTGGATTAAGTCTTTATACTTTAAAGGATCAGGATAAAAACAAAACATAGGCAGTCTTATTTTAAAACTCTGCTAGCAAAAAATCACTCCACCAAGTACTGTAACATTTTAGATATGTATCTGTAACAATCCATTCCTATCCTAACATCTGCTATAATAAAATGGTTGATGTACAAAATTAAAGTACTAAGTATATCTATTAAACCCTTATCCATCTCAATAATCATCAGGAGTAGTGAATCAAATTTCAGTGCTCAGAAATGCTGTGCAGATCAAGTAGAATTAATCCAGGTTTTCCTTAATATGTACTCATATTTACGTAAATTAGGAAGTGTATCCCCTGGGTGGAAGAATTAGAGAAGGTACCTAGTCCTCCCAGTGGATAAAGCCTGACTGGAGAGTGAAACTTGCACTAGATTTCAGTTACTAACTGCCCCCTCATCGAAGCACCTTTGTGCAATGCCCTAACTACATAATTCTCCAGAGCAGCCATAAAGCTAGTAAGGGCTATCTATGGCCAATAAATACAGAAATAAGCCAATGGGCCCAGAGTCCACATTCTGGAGATAAACTATACTGCTCAAATAGATTCAGTTTGGTATTTGAAAGCAATTACCTATACCTGATTTTTAATGACATCATTTAGATAATAGCAGTTAAGACTAACATGGCAGTATGAAAGATCAGCAGGTATAATTATTTTAAAAATATGTAAGTTTAAATAAAACGATATCCTCAAGCAGTCTTCCAATTTCACTTACTCACCTGCTGTGTACCCCCAGTACATTCCAAATCACAAGTAAATTGGCCAAGTACAGGCCTCCCTCTACATGAGCCCAAAAAACACAGCCTTGGTGAATAACAAATTCTCTCAAATTAACCAATTTAGTTGACAAGTTGAGGCAGCATATGCCAAACAGAAGATTAGTTTTATCAAGAGGGATAACTAACCTTTTGGAGGAGTCAAACTGCAAATTAAGCAGAATATACTAGCAAATGCCATAGCATGTCAGGCAGATCAAGGAGAAAGTTATATAGCTAGGAAATTTCTTAAAATATCATTACTTAACTTTTTAATTTACACTTAACAAACATATGATGGACTTAGGAAAATTCAGGCAATTCTTCATTAAAACAGAATATGTTCGCAACTCATTCACACTAATTGGCTATTTAAAATTTGCAACAGTTTCTCATAGAAGCATTCTTATAGTTTGATTCTTTTCTATAATATTATATACCGTGGGCTAAATAAGCTTTCAGTGGCTGACCTGGGAAACCAGTCACCTTCTATAGCCCTGTTTCTAGGACAGTATGTTTTAAATTCACTAAAAGCGGTGAGGCTTATTTATTTACTTCTTGTATATCCTGACCCTTGTTTTCTTTGCTCAAACCCTGCCAATCATTGAAGAAGGAAGTTCTGCCTAGGTTGGTACTCATTTTCAGTCTAAGGGCCTATTTTAGATAAAGGATGGTTTGGAGGACCACAGACAAAGGGGAGTTTTAAGATCCTGCTGATTAACTTCTTGGTTATTTCTATGCTGTTTTAGTTAATCTGTAGAAATTCATCATTTTGTTAGTATGACAAATCCAAAACACTTAAGTCTACAAATAATCATTACAGTGAAATCAACTTCAAAATCAATCACTATTTGAATGATTTATCCTACTGTATTTACTCATTCATGTGATCTAGATATATCTTTGAGAGACCAGATACTTAATCTCAATGAATGTTCAGATTGGCTAAACCATTATAGCATAAATCACAGTGAGATGGAAAAGTAAAAAACTTATAACAATAGTGATGTGGGATGTCTAGGTGGATCAGCGGTTGAGCATCTGCCTTCGGCTTGGAGTAATCCCAGAGTCCCAGGATCAAGTCCCACATCGGGCTCCCTGTAGGGAGCCTGCTTCTCCCTCTGCCTCTCTCTGTGTCTCTCATGAATAAATTTTTTTAAAATCTTAAAAAACAAACAAACAGTAGTGGTGTATGAGCAAAGGTGGTAGAAACGGAATAAAAATGTAAATAGTTAATAAGAGGCAGTCAGCTATCAGGTTGGAATGAATTGTGTAAAACCATATTTTATGTAAAGGGATTGCTAACAACAGATCTTAAAATAAGATCTTTTACTTAAATGGCTTCTTATATAATGACTGTGTCAAATAACTACAAGCAACTAAAACCTACCCTCATCATACTTCATTGACACTGCCCGGACTATTGAGAAGAAGTTAAAATTACATCTCCATATACTCACTGCTATGGAAAAGCAGGCATATTATAAAATACACGGCTTATGAACTGTTTAATAATAATAAACTTTTTATTTTTTTTTTAAGATTTTATTTTATTCATAGAGACAGAGAGAGAGGGGCAGAGACACAGGCAGAGGGAAAAGCAGGCTCCATACAGGAAGCCTGGCGTGGGACTTGATCCCGGGTCTCCAGGATCACACACCAGGCTGCAGGCAGCGCTAAACCGCTGGGCCACCGGGGCTGCCCAATAATAACCTTTTTAGAGGTTCTTGATAGGTAAAAAAAAAAAAAAAGTTCCATGCTTTTAAAAAAGCAAAGCATGTTTATTTAGAACTAAGGATAAGTTTGTTTGCATTATTTCACACTGATAATAAGGTGAAAATGTGGAGCTAAATAATATCCCTTAGATCATATTTTTAAATGGAGCTTTCTTCATATAAGTATAATAACTCTGAAAAGAAACAAAATGTGTTTTGTTGTTCCCTCTACAGTGGAGAACTGGGAGGCAGAAGGCAAAAGAAGAAAGTTTCCACTTAAATACTTTTTGTACCTGTTGAATTTTGAACTAATATATTATCTATGCTTAAATTAATTGTTTAATTAATTAAGTTCCCAAGTATAGTATAAAGAGCCAGGAGCCTAGGTTATGAATACCAGTTCCTACATTAACTCACTACAAAGCCCACGAACTTTCTGGGTTCTCTGTTCTCTCATCTACAAAATGACCACAATGGTTTCTTCCAGGGCAACTGTATTATAACTGTTCAGTAAGCACTGAAAACGATATTTTTCAAATAGCTTAACTCTGTTAGACAATGCAGTTGTACCCAGGGCTATACTCAGAGGCTCACAGTCCTTGCACAATGCACCTGTGCATCAATAGTTACTAAATTTCTAAGCAGTTGACAACCCAGTCTTTACTTATACTATGGCTCATAAGGATCTGGAATACTTTGAACAGTTTTTAAGTGAAATAGTTTAAAATGTTTAGTTACTAAAATAAATGCTTGTTAATCCTCAATCCTATACATTTGATAATGGTCACATGTTCTAAGTACAAAATAATACTAAGTCTCATATATTAAAACAAAAGTCTAGCATTATACTTTTGCCTCCCTTTCAGGGTTATTAATGGCTTCTCTTACTTAAAACCTGAATATTAATGTAAACTCTATTAGTTTTGTTTTGTGGTAGATATTTCCAACACTGTTTTAGTGCTTTAAAAATAAAATTTTCTGTAATATATGTTTCACTGTAGAAAGTTTAAGAAATATGGAAAAGGAAAAATAAGGAAAAAAATTCCATAATCCCACCACCAAAGGTAATCAATACTAACATCTTGGTATAGATAGGCACAGATTATAAAACATGTATCTGCAAAGAGAACTTGTATATCCTATTTTATAATCTTTTTCTTAACACGTTGTAAACTTTCCTCAAATTATTAAACAGTAGTCTACAATATAATAATTCCCCCACTACTATAATAGTAAAAAAATCAGTGTTAGAAAATCAATAGTGATCACCAGCATTAAGTGCTGATGGTTGCTGTCAGATTTCTATCTCTACTTTAAAAAGCTGGTTTAGGTACAAGGCCTCTCTTAACACAAATCTTCAAAATAAAACCCTTTCAGAAAGGCTTCTGATCCCTGAGTCCAAGATTCTGCTAACATATATTAAAATTCTATTATGAATATTAACTTTACTTCAGGTTCTTCTGGGTTGTTTTCTTTCTAGCTTGCCTTAAAAAAACTAAGAAATAGTTTTAAGGTGTGGCTTTGTTCTGTTACTTGTTGGCTTGGTCCTATTTGAGTGTTTTAGTATTGAAATTGTCTTAAAACTATAAAGCACCCAGATAGAGGTCATTCTGATGGGCACCACATAAACTGTGAAATAAACATATTTACAAATTTTAATTAGAAGGCAAAAAAAAAAAAAACTAACTAAAATGAAAGAAAAACAATGATGTAGCTATTATACACATAGGTCCTCTTAACTTGGGTTTGGAATTCGCTCTATAAGGTCCACCTTAAGTTAGACTCATAAGGTAGGACTAAAAAATAAAACTGGACTGTTAGACAAAAAATAACAAATTTTAATATTGATTTTGCTCAATTTATAAAGTTAAAAAGCAGGGTTTACACTTAAAAGATGAAATCAGCAACAGGTGGCTGTTGAGTTGCAATTAGTAAAAAACTTCTGGCAGAAATATACCATGTAGTAATCACAATGACCTTGGATTGTGAGATGCTACTTAACCTTTGGCAAAAAAAAATAATGAAGCAGTATGATACTATGGGGGTTTATAAGAAAGGTCATTATCACAGGCTAAACAGGTCCAATAATATATTCTCCTGGAACATACAAGCATGGGCTTGTCTGTACCCAATCAAAAACACTGGTAGCTTATTTCATAGTCATTAAACTTTGTAGTTTTTCCTGACTTGTAAAACAATTTTATTTAAAAGCAGCACACCTCATCCTTAGAAACAAAATGTTTCACTTTGACAAAGATTTCAGATGAGTGACTGCTGTAAAAGTAAGCATCTAAAGGTGTAAAGTTATCAGAGTGTAACCCAGGCTTAACCATGTTTAACTGTCAAAGCCACAACTCCCCGAAGACAATCATATGACAGAGCCAGGCTTCAGAAGGCAAGAAGCAATAGCTACTATAATGTCTTTGTCCTATGTGTTCTATTTAACCAAACATGGTATTTCTGTCCATTTAATTAATCTTCAGAGAAGCAATTAACTATATAGACACAGGTTGTGGTACATTAAAAAACATTTAAAATAATCTTTGCAGACAATAAAGATTTGTGTAAAAACAATGAGACATGTAAATGATACAAAAAAAACATTAATCACTCGGGAGGATATTAAATGACTGCATAACTGTAATAATGGTGGTTGATGTTATTAGAAAGAAAAAGATATAAATAAAAAACAATAATATAGATATATATTGGACGCATTTTAAATGTAGAGATTAAATTTTAAAAAGGCAGAAAATTTTAAGTGCCATTTATAAATTGTTTCTGTCTCTTAAAGTATACCAATTTTCCCATTTTTAATGCCATGAGAAATATCTAACCAATCAATAATGATACCCCTAATGCACTCTACCCAAAACTTGTATCAGTCCTTTACTACAATGTTAACCATGAAAAGCCATAAGGTATTCTCAAGATAAAGGCTCTCATATGCTCCCTTAAAGGGTATACTCAAACTATGTTAGGTAAGTTTAAAGAGTCCACTAAAAACAGACCCAGAAGTGAGCAAATCTAACTTATGGAAGTGTTTCCATAATCTTCTTCTCAAGCACAAGAAAAATTAATTGCAAACAAATTAAAATGCTAAGTATTAGATATTAAAATGGCCATTTATAATAGGCTTTAAAATGTAAAACAGAGTTTTAACACATTATCAAATACAAAAAAAAAATACAGGCATTACCTGGATAGATGGCTTGTTTAAATGACCCAGATTTGAGGTTGTTTGTCTTGGTTCATGTCCTAAGACCATCATATTAGCATTGATCAATCTGAAGGCATCAATAACAACCTGTAAAAATAAGGTGTCAGGTCAATTCTTTTTAAAAAAGCAAGTGATGATGCCAAGCAACAGTGGACAGGCATGATCAACTTGCATCTGTTTCTGGCCTATTTCCAGAAAATCATTTAATTATAATATTAATAAAAAAGAACCTCCTGCTGACTGTGCCATCAGCACACCACCCTCTATCTTGTAATGTAAGGTGACACCAATTATTGCAATTTTCATGAAGCAGTAAAGAAAAATATTAACTTTGCATCTTTATTATTGAAATACATCATTACTAAACTTCCACACCAAACAGCCTCCATTGGTGTGCATATGTTTGTCACCTAAATTTTACCTAATCAAAATGAATGACAAAGAGAAACTAAAACTGAAAGTGAGCACAAGCTAAGGGACCACATGTAAAGCCCAGCCCTGTCACATCAATTATACTACCACAGTACTTGAAATGACAACAAAATTACAGCCAGAAAGGCACTTGCTCCACGTATTCTCTTCTAGTCAGATACCTTTTACTTCTTGTGACTATAAAAGACTTTATACCTTGTCTGATGGCCTTAAATATCCAAGCCACTGTCAAGAATAGGAGGCAAATACAAGAAAACCAAGGTCATCTGTGCTTTAAAAGCCAGGAACATGGTATAGAATGAGACAGACGTAAGTTCATAGTAAGGAAGTAATAATAGGTACCCTTCTTTTTCTATGTGTATTCACTATTTCTGTATAAAAAGAGTCCAAATTCTTACATGATACAGTATCATCTATTAGCTCTTATATATTAAGAGGTTTAACAAGAATAATATATTATCCTAACACTTTTTTTCTGTTCGTCATCATGGATTTGAAAAAACTCGTCAAAGCTTTTAAATGTTGTAAAGTTTTATATAAAGCAAGCACTGGGACTTTAAGACAGATGCTTCTTTCTGGGAATTTAAATCAATGCCTAGAGAATAAATTCAATACTCTGTCACATAAAAAAAATCTTAAAGCAGAATAATACATTTTTCTAGATTTGCCTTAAAAGTACTTAAACCGTGATTTATTAACATTATAAAACCTACCATCAACTAGACTGTTTTCCATTTCTTTGGAGTTTGAGTATAGCTGAGTAAGTATAATTAAGTAGAAAATCAAATTTATTTTCAAGTTAAGCCAAATGAAATCTAATCAAGTCTGAAAAATCTGTTTGTATATGTACACATGCTGTATACTAAAGAATAAGATCTAAAGAAAGAAAAAAAGTTACCCTTTCCAAAGGCTACCATGAAGGGTCAACAAACAGTACAAAGAATACAAACTTATACCAAAGCATTCATTACAAGTGTCCACTCTGGCAGGCCAAAAAAAAAATCAACTCTGAGTTTTGCTTTTACTTCTAACAGTTTGAATTTCCCCAGAGTCCTCTTGCCTCAAAATAAAACCAACTATCCCCAGAACATACATGATTTAATAGTCTGTGAAAACTCCTTTTTCTTTTTATACAATAACTGCAATTCAGACTTAACTTTCACATTTATATAAAAATAAATATGGCCTACATTTATACTTCTTGCTTGTACTTAGATTTTTTAATCATTTATTTTCATGAAACAATAAAAATAGGTACTAATATCAGACATGCTTTAATCAGATATTATAATAATTTCAAACACTTGTTTACAAAATACAGAAGTAAAATTTTCTACTCAAAAGCACATAAAATAAAATTAAGATGTAAGCAAAAGGAGAAAAATGACCATTTGAATAAGACAGGTGTAACTTAAATAAGTAAGTGCAGGATTAAGAACTGCCACCATTTAGAGGGGACTTGGGTGACTCAGTCAGTTAAGCTTCTACCTTCCGCTCAGGTCACAGTCCCAGGGTCCTGGGATTGGGCCTCACGTTGGGCTCCTGGCTCAATGCGGAGCCTGCTTCTCCCTCCCCCTCCACCCCACTCTCCCCACCCTGGTACTCTCTTGCTATCTTTCTCTCAAATAAATAAAATCCTAAAAAAATTTAAAATTAAAAAAAAAATTAAAACACTGCCATTTAAGTACTCCAGTATTTAAGTGCTCCGGTAAATTTAAAAGCAAAGCATCATTTTGGCCCAAATGATTTTAGAGTATTTTGATTCCATTTTAAGATTTCAATAAAATCATTTGCAGGAAAAAAACAATCCTACAAAACCATGAAAATTCCATCATATACCACAACAAAATGTCTGTATACTGTTTTATACTAAACACTTTCAAACTAAAACAGCAGGCAGCTATTTTACATGCAAAAATCTCCATAATATTTCTCTGGAATATTATAAGTAGGTGTGAAACCTCATAAAAAGGAAATGAAAATACCAGCTAAGTAGGTATTATCATCAGTTAGAAACAAATCTAAAATTTAAAAAAAAAATAAATTATATTAAAAAATGAGAAAAAGATTTAAAAGCAATATATTGTTTAAGTATTAAATGATGGCCTATGTGAATGACATGCTTAGATTGATGATTCCTGAGTAGCAATATGATAGCCAATAGAAAAGAATACTTTAACTACACCAAGATTAAAGGAATTTGCTGCCATTGCTATAGCAACTGTCTTAAGGAAACTAACATGTTCAACAACCTGCAAACCAAAATTAGATTTAGTACGCAATAAAAATATAAATATGGCAATATAGTCTACATTTCAATTTCTGTACAATTTTATAATTGCCTTTTGCACTGTGAGAATAAGCAGGTTCCTTCTTTAGAGCAACCTATCAAAATAGACTCATTAATGTCCAGTGCACTAATGAGCAATGGGTGAAGAAGGTGTTAATTATGCCACAGTAAGATTCAAGAAAAAGCCCTGGTGAGCACTTGGAGGTGTGTATAAGCTGAAGGCGTTTCTCCATGTTTATGTATTTACAGCATGATGCAACAGAATGACAGCAAAGTGGTCACTCCATGATAAGAAAGGAAATCTTAGATACAGTATACTGGCACAAGGAACCCCCAAAGATTAATTAAGGTATAGGGAAGGGGACAGGGGAAAGAATCCATTTTTGGAGCTAGGTGAATTTTCTAAACAGTTTGTTTTAAAGTATACATACACTAAACCAGTCCAGTTTATAGCTTATAAATCCAAATAGTAATTTAGCCAAAAAACTTTGCACAAAAACTACTGCATCAATACGTAATAACAAAAACTTCCAAACAAAAGTATAAAGAGTATTTTCAGGAATGTGATGCTAGACTTTTATAATTCCTTTCCATGCTGAAGTCCTATATCCCACACTGAATCCACACTGTATCTCCATCCACCAGCCTGACCATTTAATTTTTTCTGGTACAAGTGCCTTGAGACTTTTCAGAGGTCACTGCAACAGTAGACAGCTTATAACAAAACCATTAGCAGTTTGGCTAGCTTAGGGAAACCTCTTACTTTCCTTTTTTGTTTATTATCACTGCATGAATCTGCAGCATATGATAGTTTATAATTTCTCAGGCTTGTTAAATTCATGTTAAAGGTCTGTTTTCTTGTTGAATAAATTTTGTTCATATAATGCTGCCTATTTCATACACTCAGTCTTTAATAGCACCTTTGGTCTATGCGCAACTCACAGATCAAAACAGAGGACTAAAATAGGGGTTGATGATGCTATTTACATGTGTGATTCCTGCTGTCTTCTTGTTAGTAGCTTTAATATAATAGAAGACCTTGTCTGTTTTGTAATTAACACATCTTTACTGGAGAGATATTTGGAAGTGATTGCTGTGAATATACTGGTTAGTAAAATAAACACAATCACACACCACTTTCTGTTATCAGACAAATTTGTGAATTGTACACATTATACTCCAGATCAACAAACTGTGATATAACAGCCAAGTAGAAGACACATATTTATATAACCCTTTATTTTTCTGAAAATATGTATTCACTCTGACCTTGCAAATATAATTAGCTTGTGGGATGTGCAGATTTCAGTACCATGGTTGCTTTACTAATTGCAACTCTTGGAAATAGATACTAAATATTTGGAAGCTGCCAATACAAAATAAAAACTGCATCTTTTTTGTACATCTGTCTTAGCTTATAAAAGCAAAATAGTTTTAAAAACAATACTGTGTTCCATATTTATTCCAAGCACACCCAAGGGTCAAGGACCTATCATTTCATTTTAATAATGAATCTGGTTTCGGACTCAAAACTGTAATTATTTTTCAAATTCAGTTTAATCCATAATTTTTTGGCTCCTTTCATGAGTACAGTACAGTTTACCCAATATGCTATTTATTTTCAAATTCATATTTTTATATCAACTGCTAGGTCACTGAAAGACTAAATTTCTAAAGCACCAATCTATGTTTCTCAATTTTTACATCAAAGGAGGCTATATTGTCAAGTTTCAAATTACTTTAATACAAAGGTGTCTGAAAGAAAAATGCATAAACACTTTTGGTAGTAGTTACTATAATTTTAACCTCTCTATCTCTGTCTCTGTCTCTCTTTTTTAACAGTAGCTGCCTCTGGCATTTCTAATTGCACTTAGATTGAAGTCAATGACTGCGGAAAGTGCTTATAAATAAAATAAACTGAAATGATTCTTTTAACAAAGCTTGAGAGAAAAATTTTAAGACCTTGAAATCAATATCAAATATCAAAAAAAGAAAAGAGCTGTAATTCAGTTACCAGTTGTTACATATTTAAAAACATAAAGTCTCTAAATGACTATAAAAAATGGTAGGTGTAGAAAGAAAAGCAGTACTTCATATCAAATACCCTTTATCACCTAGAAATGACCTATTATCAACTGCTTAGGGTGTTTCTAGATTCTTTAAAAATTAAGGGTGCATGTGACCTGGGAAGTACTGCTGGGGTTTGTGACCCTTTCGTTACTTCTGCTGCCATGCACTGCCAGGCATCTATAAGAAAAACATCTTCTGTCTCTTGTAAGCCCACAGCATAAAAAATTCAAAGAAATCTTACTTTTTATGCCATTTCCAATGAAAAGCACTAAGAACTAAAACTGACTCATGCCAA